TAGCATCTCAAAACTATGGGATAGTGTCTCATGATTATAAGATGCTATTTTTCATCACAGTAAAAAATATCTTTGTCCATATCTCTTCCATATCTTGTTGTTATTTCCGAAATGATCTCGAGGGTCATCTACGAAAAGTTCGTTAACGTGGATCCAATGGGCTTTAGGACCCCACGGACGCCCACCGATACCCACGTGACAGGGCTTCACTGGCACGATGTTGATGATGATGCTTCGCTGGACTCTTAACAGAGACGTGAAACACCAGCATCACGTGCGTTGGCGACGCACCAGTCAAAAGTTTAACGTGAAGTCATCGCGGGAAGCAGCGGACATGGCTGCCGGGGTCGCACTCTTCGTCGCGGTGAACCTCGTTTGTTTATCAGCTGGTGGAAACTTGGTAAGGAAGAAGCTAAAACTAAACTGACGGTACATTCATTATAGAACAAGTCACTTGACTGACCGCAGCTGCGTAGTTCCTGGAACATTTTGATAAAAGTTTAAATAGAATCAGCTTTCCATTTATCTTGATTTTACAATAGAAAGACTCATTGGATTCAAGGCTATCCGTTCAAACTAATGTTATGCCCTGACGACCAAGGTGATGAATACGGGGCAGGTCTGCGATATGTTAGTTTGCTTAAGTACAAACCACAATACTACAGTGCAGAGGTCTTCAACAGGGGGGTCGCGAAATTTTTGGTTGATAAGACAATTTTTTTTCCACAAATTTAAATGTCTTCAGAATCAGAATTGTATTTGTCTTCTTTATTGTTACACATTAACATAAATCCAACATATTGTAGCGAATGGATAAATTAATGGAGAAGACATTATCTTTCAGTCCACAGCAGCTCTCAAGCTGGGCATCGGTTCATTCACAGCACCTTTCATGCTGATACGACAGCAGAGGCACTAGCCAATCAGATCACGTTCATGCTCACGTAAAAGCGCAAAGCTCAAAAATAAATACTCTGTAGAATAGGGGGTCCCTGCTCCATCTCGCCATCAGTTTGGGGGTCCTTGGCCTGAAAAACGTTGAAGACCCCTGCTATAGTGTACAAGTAAATGTCCTGCTTTAAAAATCACAGTCGTGTGTGCATATCGGTTACCACATATCTTCATTACATTGACACGTCTCAGCTGGTTTGGGAAAACTGTTATTCCTCATATCGTGGCATGATGTATTTGTTAATTTTCCATTTATTATAAACAATGTAAAATCTGCAAAGTAAGTTGAGTCTGGAGCTTCAAAGCAAATGAAGGAGAAAAAAGTAAAAGTATTTACATCCGATTTAGTTTAGTAGAAGTATCTTACTTTCTCGATGCCACGACGTCTCTTGCAGGTCTCTGGAGAACGATCGTTCTCTATAGACTACAAAAACAACTGCTTCCTCAAAGACGGGAAGCCCTTCCGGTACATCTCAGGCAGTATTCACTACTCCAGAATCCCACCGTACTACTGGAAGGACCGTCTGCTAAAGATGTACATGACCGGACTCAACGCCATCCAAGTGTAAGTGCACGCGCTTTGTGTGTTTTTGCATTAGGTCGGCTCTTTCTTTGCGGGACTTTTGTTCTTCCTCCCCACAGATATGTGCCTTGGAACTTCCATGAAGCGGTAGAGGGAGTCAACAACTTCACAGGGGCCCAAGATCTGGAGCGTTTTTTGCATCTGGCCAATCAGACCGGCCTACTGGTCATTCTGCGTCCCGGACCGTACATCTGTGCCGAGTGGGAAATGGTGACAAAAATAAGTTCACAATCTCAGCTTATTTATCAGTTAAGTGTCATAAATCAAAAATGTCCCAAGCGTGACAATAAACTATATTTGATCTTACCGCCGTAAGATCAAATATAGTTTATTGTCACGCTTGGGACATTTTATACAACGAGGAAATTGAGAAGGGAACCAAACAAATGATTTCACAGTTCAGCATAAAAGATTGACCTTTTTGTAAATGGAGATCCATCATTAAAGTGAGCAAAACCCCCTTTTTCTACCCAGGGCGGATTGCCAGCTTGGCTACTTCAGAAACCAAACATTATACTTCGCTCCGCTGACACAGGTGAGACCCCTGCACCTACTGCACGTGTCCTTGTCGTTTTGGTAATGCAAATACGCCGCTGATTTGGATTTCCTCTGCCTCAGATTATGTCCAGGCAGTCAGCAACTGGCTCGCTGTTCTTCTTCCCAAAATGAAGCCGTGGCTGTACAGCAACGGGGGCAACATCATAAGCGTCCAGGTAGAGCATGGAGTCGCTCCTTCTTGTTTGTATCAGTGTCACGACGTTGGTTTCCAATCATCCATCGCTTTCGGCTGCAGGTGGAGAACGAATATGGAAGTTACTTTGCTTGTGACTACAACTACCTGCGTCACCTGCGGACTCTGTTCCGCTTCTTTCTGGGGGAAGACACCGTCATGTTCACCACTGATGGAAACACGGACAAGGAAATGAAATGCGGCACTCTGGAGGGATTGTATGCCACAGTGGACTTTGGCACAGGTATTGTGTGAAAATGATTAACGGGATACCGGCACTGTACTTCCTGTCATTCACAAAGGAAAGTTGTAATTTCTTGCATCCCCTCACGCAGACACCGACATAACTAAAGCCTTCCGCCGGCAGAGAAGGTTTGAACCTCGAGGGCCGCTGGTTAGTTATATATTAACCCGCTCATCTTAAGATGCAGTTATTACCGACTCCACAAAAACAAGCGCACGGAGTTGAAACATTTAAATGACGTCATAGGTGAACTCGGAGTTCTACACCGGCTGGTTGGACCACTGGGGAGATCGGCACGCTGTGGTTGACGCGCAGAAGGTCAGCAGGGTGCTACAAAAAATGCTAGTCATGGGGGCCAACGTCAACATGTAGGTCTCCCCGAACACACACACACACACCCCAAAAAACTAATTTCTTCCTGGATCACCAACCAATGATATGAATATAGAACACCGCCAGCCTTTTCCTTTAGGACGCATCAACCGGCTGTTTGAGGTGACGCTACTCCAACCAGGTGAAAAGTAACAGGCGTCTCTCTCCTCAGGTACATGTTTGAAGGAGGCACCAACTTTGGCTACTGGAACGGTAAATTCATCGTTTTTCATGATCAGTGTCTCGGTTGTTCACACGACCTCGCATAAAGATAAAAGGCTCAGCACGTGGCGCATTCGTCCCTTTGAAACCCCCCCCCTCCCTCTTCTCTCCACCCCGAAGGTGCCGATCACGACACCCGCTTCCGCTCAGTGGTGACAAGTTATGATTACGACGCCCCGCTGTCTGAAGCAGGAGACCCCACAGAGAAGCTGTCGGCCATCAGAGACGTCATAAAGCAGGTCGCCTTGATTTGACTGCCACCCGCCGGGGATGATGTGCTGATTACGCGTCTCTGGGAGGATTAACTTGATGTTTCTCTACAGTTTAGAGACATTCCCTCCGGCCCCATGCCACCAGCCACTCCAAAGTTTGCCTACGGATTTGTGACCCTGAAAAAGGTAAAAAATTAATTCAGCTTCTGAAGGGCTAAATCCGTAAAGAGCTAGAAGTTGCGACTGATAAAATAACGGACATTTTTCAGGTTGGCAACGTCAGCGGTCTGCTGGACACGCTGTCGCCTTCGGGTCCAGTGACATCGCTGCATCCTCTGACGTTTGAAGAGATGAAACAGGTACAGTGTGTCCATCCAACAGGGGAAGGGGGGACCGGCGCTGCGGCTGCAATGAGCTTCTTGAAACGTGGAGAACTTCTAGAGGTCTGCAACCTGTCACGTCTATTGTGTTCAGTACTATGGATACGTGCTTTATCGGACCACGCTGCCCCGGGACCTCTCGGAGCCGACGCCACTTATCTCTCCGCTGAATGGGGTTCATGACCGTGCATATGTGTCCGTCAATGGGGTGAGCCTTCACAATGCACTTTTGTTGTGTGGGGAAAACATCACAGGTTTAAAACCAGCCGCGCTTGTTCCTAAAATGTCCGGGTTGTGAAAAATGGGAATTCTTCCCGGGTTCTTTGTTAACGTCCAGGGTCATTGAATGTTTGGAACAGGTGTTCCGGGGTCTGTTGGAGAGAGACACGGTGCTGGTGATGAACGTAACTGGACAGCAGGGGGACACTATGGACATCCTCGTTGAAAACATGGGCAGGGTGAACTTTGGAAGCAAGATCAATGACCACAAGGCAAGACGGCCAAGTCCAACCCTGTAGACTTTAGGCATTCTTTGGTTGATGAATCAATAGATTGATGAAGCCACAGTATCAGGAACAAAAACTAAAATGATAACAAAAGTTGAAGACCATTTCTATTGCTTGATGGTTATTGTGTTTAGACTTAACAGAATGTATATACTTCAGGGCCTCGTGAGCAACTTGTTCCTGGGTAAAGACGTACTGACCGACTGGAAAATCTACTCTTTGGACATCGATGGAGCCATTGCTGGAGGATGGCCTCATTCAGGCCGTCGTACGTCCTTCCCCGTCCCTCACAGAGACCCTTCAGTTGGACCGGTCTTCTACATGGGGACCTTACAGCCCAACGGCCTGGCGCGGGACACCTTTCTCAAGCTCACTGAGTGGACAAAGGTATTGTTTTATTGGAAGGGTTACCTCATGATTGCAGGGGGCGGGGGGGTGTATGTACCCATATAATGTTGTATTTTTTATATCAGGGTCAGGTGTGGATTAATGGTATGAACCTGGGACGATACTGGCAGGCAAGAGGCCCTCAACAGACTCTGTATGTCCCCGGACCCCTGCTCAGCACTGCCCTTCCCAACAACATCACAGTGCTGGAGCTGGAGGGGGCGCCAGCACACCGACGCGTTCTCTTCGTGGACCGACCTCAGTTCAATGTCAAAAAGTCCAAATAGGGTTCGGCATCACTGCCTTCTCCAACATTCAGCTGACGGAATGCTGCAGCCCAATAGCTATAATAATAATAATAATAATAATAACGATTAATTTGACACAAGAAATACGATTTCTTTTCAGCATTATTTCAGTGCCAGTGTAATTTATTGCCCATTCATAATCATAACGATCCAAGGCCAAATGCTTTAAAAGCAGCAGCCAATTGGTCATGATTTTGTCTTCATGGTTGAACATACACTGATGCCTTTGGAAATAAGTTACAATGAGAAGTCTTAGTTTGTTTTTTAAAAAGACATTTGCTTATTTACCTTTTCCATAGTTGTCGCTATTGTAAATAAATTATACATTTGTGTTTAATATGTTTGATTTTACCAGTTGTCTTGAACATCTGACATAATAAAAATACAATTTTAAATCCTTGATTTGAGTTGAATTGAAACCAGCACATTGGCAAGACACGTCCATATTGAGACTCCATCAAGGCTGCCCAAGATCAGGTCGCTTCAATCTTTCATTATTCTTAGTTGTTATAAAAGAGGGAAGGATAATCTTCTCTGCATTACCCTTTGTCCATTTCGTCAAAGTCTTATTGTTGGCTGACTTCTGCCCCCGTGCGGGTGTCAGGTCCGGCCTGGAGGAGCGCGGGCTTTTCGATGTGCTTGGACACAGCGAGGGGTGCAGAAGGAATACTCCAGGTACTGAAAGGGGATCTTCCCCAGCAAGGACTCTCCACACATCCAGCACCTCCTGGAGACAATAAGACAAAGAGCACGTTGTATTTCTGTGTTGACAAAAAACATTGACGTGGTTCCATTCAGGCGGAATGTGAGGGACTTACTTGACATTAGCTACTTGCTCGGCTAACCTCCTCTCTGCTGCCAGAGCTCTCTGGAACAAAAACACAAGAGAACGGGTATCATTTTCCAGATCATTTAATTAGAGATTAAATACACATTAACTCACCTTTTCACGGTCAGTTAGAGACGCAAACTTCTTCTTTTCCTCTTCCTCCAACTCTCGTTTCCTTTTTTCCTCCTTCTGCTCTTTTTCACGCTGTCTTTTTAAAGCTTTTTGGGCCTTTTTCTTCTCCGTCTTTTTGGATTCAAGCTCTGCCGTCAGGGGCGCAGGGACCTAAAGATGCACATGGACAAAAAAAAAATAATTAAAAAAGGGGGGCTCTGCTTGTATTTAATGCCGTGCGTGGAACAAAAGTTAGACTGTACATTCTTACCTGTGCCTTGATGTAGTCATATTTGTCGGGATTCTCGGCCATGTATTTACGGAAGACATTCCTCGTCTCTTTGTCGGGACAGACAACATAAGGCGTCTGTCCTTTGTTATCCCTTTAAACCAATATGTAAGAAATAATGTTTCAGCTCCGGCATGGAATCGTTGCGTTCTGCTGCCGATTGTCGCGCATTTTCATACCTGCACGCTGGGTCCGCTCCTCCATCCAGGAGCAGCCTGACCGCGGCCTTTTGTGCAGCAGCTGAGGCAACGTGCAGCAACGTGAACCCCGACGAGTCTATGGGCTCATTGAGGAGCGGCGGAGGACTCGGCACATCAGAAGGGGCGCTCTCCGACCGCTCGCCGCTCTGCGGCGCTTCCCCCGGCGGCTGAAGGAGTCCGCGCAGGGCGTCCACATCCCCGACCTTACAGGCCGTGAACGCTTTGTCCCTCAGGCCGTACTCGTGCGACGCGTCGACGGTTTCTAGAGACACTGACAGAGGAATGGTTCTTTTCTGAAATGTTCTATATCACAGAGGCGGTGAGTTGCAAGATGCGACATGGTGAGCTGTGGTGAGGGAAAAGCACACATGCACACCTTCTGGTTGCTTCTTGCTCGGCGCTTTCTTCCTCGTCTTGGGCTTAGACTGGGTCTCTCGGGGGGCATCTTCTTCTGGGGTAGCCTCGAGCACTTCTTCTTGATCGTCCGCTTCTGTTTGACTCAATTCTGTCAGACGTGGATGTTAAATTCGGTTAAATCTTGCAGAACCGTCATGTGATAATCGAGCGGTCCCTGGGGGTTGTGTGATGTAGCTATAGGGGGTATATGGTGCAACACCCTGGACCAGACCTACCCTCTGTTTGCAGTTTGGATTCCTCCTCCTCTTGCTCCTTCTTCCTCCTCCTCCTCCTCCTGTGCCTGGGGGGATAGATTTCAAACTCCCTGAGGTTGAGCGTTCCTATTGTAAGCTCCTCCATCTCCAGCTGGATGTCTCCAACTTCTTCTTCACCAGAGCTTTCGGGATTTTTATCTGCTGATATGAAGGAAAAAAAAAAAGAAAGAAAGTGGGCTGGGATACCAAAATTCACTGGAAACAGCGATATGAACACCTAAGGAGAGTAATAACATTTCTACCCACAGTGTCCCCACTGCGCATGTTAACCTCTGAGGCTCACCTTTGTCTTGATCTGCATCCGTTTGTGTCGTGGGTCTGGCAGATTTCTTCCAGGCCTTCTTAGATGGAGCAAAGACCGCAGACATGTCCGTGTCTTTCCCTGCGACGAGAGTATTTTGCACAGCGCATTGCAGATTACACCCTGGCCGTGCGACAGCGGGCAGAGAACATGTCATTATTCCGTGGATGCGCGATTTGTCGGCTCACCATAAACATGGACAGTGGAAAGCACCTCGTGTACCCGCCGAGCCTCCCGAAAGGTCGCCCTGCGCGTGGGAAAGGGGATTGCGTGGATCCTGCGATCTTTTTTTTCAAACGGAGCTGCACGACCCCCGAAAAAGATGCTTTTATTGTAGCTCGGCGCTCGCACAAATATGGCAGAGGCTTCCTTCAGGTGTTCGGCCCAGCTGACCAGAAGATCCTGAATGTCCTGAAATTTTTTTTATACAAAAGGGTTGAAAAACGTGGCACCTCGCTCCTGAGAACGGATTACATCAGAAAACGTTACATGGTTTATTTTTGAACTGAGAAACGTATTGATTATAAAGACTCAATTGAATTAAAGCGTTAAACGCTCACAAAATAAGCAATTCGTGTCAAACGAGGAATAAATGACAAAATGCAACTGCTCCCTTGAATATTCAATGGCTAAATAAAGAAACTTTACACAGAGACAAAAACAATGTATTTTCAATCCCGCAGAAGAAAAAAAAAAAGTCAAAAGAAAGCATCACGACAGGACATCATAGCTGAATACGATTGTAAATAAAAAAGCAAACTATCAGTGTAAAGGAAGACTAAGTGGAACCTTGCCTTCACTAGCGCTCCTTCATTGTATCGCCTCAGAGCAGCTCCAGCGGATTTTGGCGCGTGGCCGCGGTTCTGAGCGTCTCGGAGTCCTTGAGCGGTTCCCCGCTTCGCTCGCACCGTGTATCGATGGAAGGTCTTGTGCTGAAGGACTTCTTTTCTATAATTTAACACATTGTGCTCACATTTTAGTCTAAGCGCGACTGCAAAAAGCGTATTCCTTATTAAAGTGGTACGATACTAAAGAAAAAAAATCATAATTAGAGGCGATGAAGTCATGTATATGAGGCATTGAGTGACAGCTTATCCACAGAAGACAATTCATTTTGATAAACAAAGCTGGTTTACATGTTAGCGATAAATCTCCACCTACAATTACAGCCAGTAACATGTCATCTAAGATCCTTGTAAGCAAACAAACCAAACACACTCACCCTTGGAACACGGCGCCAGCAAAGTGGCCTCCACCTGTCATGAGAATGACCCACACGGTCTGCTGACTTATGGCTCTCAGGGACGATCCTGCGTCTTGCTCAACGTCCGCCTGAAATATCACAGGAGATCAGCATGAAACGTCCGTTAACCCACAACGTCGCGCCGCCGTACCCGCCGAGCCTCACCTGCCCCCGTAGGATGCAGCGGTACACCGAAAGATATTGTTCGGCCGAGTTCTGAAAAACCACTTTGTTGCAATGCCGCCCGGCGAGCGAACCGCGTCCGGCTGAGCTGTCGTTGGCGGTGCCCGGAACGTTGCTGCTTGTCCCCCTGCTCTCGCTGTCGGAGTCGTCGTCCTCCTCCTCCGAATCCGACTCGGAGCCCGAGATGCTGGACATGTCTCCTGTGAAGCGAGAAGCGAGGATGAAACGAGCGCTGCGAACTATACGATCGCGCTCGCCTGGGGGAGTTGGCACTCCGGTTTCCTCACCAGCTCCGGTCTTCCTTTCAAACTCCTCGGCTGTGACCGGCGGCATTCCAGAAATCTTTAGTCTCAGGTTGAAACGATGCCAGTCCAGCTTGTAGTGCTCCGTCTGGAATGTAGAAGGATGATGTTTAGCTCGAAAAAGACGACCCACGCTCGTGCACATCCAACGGATCTCATTTCATTAACTGGAGCAAACTGTGAAGTTGTGTTTTTTTGTCACCTGTTCCTCGCGAGTGACGAAAGAGCTTTTGCAGGCGGTGCAGAGCATCTTGTCCGAGACCTCTCGGACCAGGCTGGACTCCCGATGTCTGTCATCCTCTGGGGATTTGTCCTCCGCCTCTGTGGAGGAAGCCAATAGAGGTTGAGCTCCATCTGGAAATAAAACACAACAACACAAGGAGCAGAGCTGCGATCCGAGCGTAGATACCGTGTGGGGCCGGGTCGGTGTCTCCAGGCGGCCTCAGGAAGGACTTGACCTCCCTCAGCCCGTTCAGAGCCTCATCGTTTGGGCACAGGTGGAAGATGGAGCGGTACTCGGCTCCTGACGTCATGTTCTGGACCGCTTTGACCTTTAACCCCAAAAATTAAGCCGTGAGAACCAGATCGACCCGCCGCAACGTGAGATCGCAGCTATCCAGAACAATACGCTTCGTGTGGGATAGACGCCTACTGGTCTAACAGCTTAGTCCAGCTCTTACGGAACAATTGGACCCTGTAGTGAGAGATAACGTTACATCAGCTGATGTAACCTTAGTGCTCTTTGAACGCCACATGTGGTAGTGACCAACAGCCTTTAACAACAAACATGGCGTGTAGTCCTCCTTTACATAATATGTAATTTGATGTATTACAATTAACGTTAGATACAATTAACTAATTTATAAAAAATAGGAAGCAACTCACCATCAAAACGTGTTTAGAAAAGCAGTGCTAATGTTGTGTTACTTCGCTCGCTCCATGACACAACTACGGGAATCAAGAAGGGACAAACAAAGACAAGGCGCGCAGCGCCCCCTGCAGCGGCAGAACGCCGTCATCTCACCGAGCTTCTACTTTGCTTTATTTCCATTACAGTTATTTTTCCTCCATTACATTTGTTCGATCACTTTTATAGTTGCGTTGCAGATTTCGGTTATAAATTAAAAAAAATCAAATTAACTAATTACTTTACAGTAATTCTGAAATGGCCCAAGCTGCAAAATGAGTGCTTTACTTTTGTGATGCCAATATCTTTGCACTTTTGTTTAAATGCAGTACTTTAATTTGAAACAGAGTATTTCCGTACTGATTTTTTTTACTAAACATTTTATTAGTTGTACGAGTTTTGTCCTCTTTTCTTGCAAAAGGAGGGTGGTTGATTTTTATAAGGAATAATACGTTTCATGCACAGAGAGAAAAGCTTCATTAATGGAAGCTTATATGAATGCACACGGCTATATGTTTGTATATCTCTATTCAAACCAAAAAGTATACTGTGTATCGTGCGTGTCACATATTAATGTTTTTTTCTGACCAATGGATTATTATAACTTGATCAAACATTTTATTAGGAGAAACAAAAAGGACACACAATCATTATAAATATGAATACAAACATGCCTGCAATCTTTAAAACACATGTTATATCTTTGAGTCACTTGGGTTTGTTTTGATGTCTCTTTGATTTTTCAGCTGGTGCTTGAATCAAAGCTTGTGCTGTTTGCAAAGAAACAGAATGATTACATGATGTATTTCAAATGCAACTTCTGTATACGCTCCAAACTCCTCTTACCAGCCATATTACGGGCCTTAGTCTCTGCCAGTTGCTCTTTCACCTCCCGAATTTCAGCAGCAAGGCTTTCCGCTTTTTTTGTGATGCGCTCACTCCTTTCCTGCAAGTCATTATTTTGATCTCTGAAAGACAACAAATATTTTGAAACACTTCTTGCACAGGGAAACCAGCTTGTTTTATTCACTCTCTCTCCAAGCAGGTAGAGCAGCTGAGCACATTGACCTTTCCACAGAGTCTTGTCCATTCAGTTGTTCAGAAAGGTGCTTTTCCTCTTGCAGAAGACGACCCAGTTGCACCAACTCATCGACAACATCACCTTTTTCAATCATCAGATTCACTCTCCGCACGGTTTCTGCTCTACTGCAAATGAGAACACCACTCATAAGTCACAACTGAACGAAGACGATAGTCTAGTCAACCTAAACTGATGAAAAAAAGGGTATAATCAGCACGAGCCTGTGTCTTTACATTTGGGAAGTGTTCTGCATAACAACAGAGAGCCACTCACTTCTAACAGATTAACAGATGAAATTATCAAGTTTCACAGACTGCAGCTCATCTTGACCTGTTTGCTTTAGGCACAGTTTTGTTTTCCTCCTCTCACTGGCTTCTCTCTAACTTTATCCAAAGAATGCTTGACTGTGACATTCATTTGTTGGATTTTAGAACTTCCGTGTTGTCATGCAAAGTTATTTCTCTCACAGATGGTTGCTCAAAATGTGAAGGAAAAAAAACCCGTGGGCCAGACCGACTGAACACAGACTGCAAGTCCACCAAATCAACGTTAAATACTTGGTGTATAAATAACGTTACCATCGAATGATCTCTTCTTCAGTGCAAAGTCTCTTTCGCTTGACCTCGGCCAGGAGGCGAGTGTTTTCTTGGATCGCGTTCTGCAGCCCGCGGATCTGATCCTGCAATGAAATGAGAAGCCAAACGTGTTCACACCGCAGATCATTTTTGTCAAAACGCCATAGCAGGTTCTATATATGAAAGTCGTTGATAATTTGTCCGTTTTAAAAAAAACGTGTGTCGCTGGTTCCGCCGACATCAACGTTTGCACATTTGGCAAACGCTAAGTATTTGTTTCTTTCTATTTTTGAGCCGCTAGCACGACAGCGTCAACCTACCGTAGAACTGTGCTGTGACTGAAATGTATGACCGGGAAAAGCGGCCATGGTGTCTTATGGTAGTAAAACGTTTTCTAAAATCTCGTCCAACATTTATAAGCTGGCTTCAACAGGAGTTGAACCGGGTAATATGTTGTGTATATATAGCTCTCTTCTCACCGCGATGTTAGAGCCCGGATAGCTCAGTCGGTAGAGCATCAGACTTTTAATCTGAGGGTCCAGGGTTCAAGTCCCTGTTCGGGCGGTATGTTTTGTTTTTTCCTGTTCGGAATTTATTTAGAACAATATTATGTTACTAACAAGTGTAAGTAACTTATCACCTGAAATTAGCAGTGTAACATATAACTGGTTGGCGCGTTTAGCTTCAGTAGAGAGAAAACAGCTCTCCTAGTAGATGTCAAGACACCTAAAGCCTAAAATTGCCCCATAACCTGTGCCAGACATTAAACCATTTCATTTTAAGATAGTCATTGAAAGTGGGGCTGTAATTATCCACAGTGAGACCTCGCATTATCTTGCTGTTGGAGTTGTTGTTTATGAAATAATCAATCTAATACAGGGATCAAGCTCACTCACAAACACATAACAGTAACCTGGTAATTTAGCTGATATAATCATGGGTATTATCTCTGCACAGTGATCGGGAACACCTATAAAGCGTTGGTGTTTGTGCCGGTAAAATGGCAACACTGAAGCAGATCTGACTGGCAAATATGGAGCAGATTATCCTCTTGTGCCTGGTTTCCACCATTCTATCGGCCGTGCATGCTCAGGTAAATATGCAGATTTTAACAAGTTTAACAGCAAACTGCAACACAACGGCTAACGTTGCTCTTTTTTTCTGCAGAAATTCTTTTTCAGCCCAAATTGGGGTCCAATTGGCTATAAAGGTAAATGCAATTCGGATTGGATCTACTGTAAATGTTTGTGTGAGACAGCTGTAAAAACGCACTTGCAGACTTCTTTTCTTTTCATTTTTTTTAGAACGGGAAGAGCATGATAAGACTGCAATGGATGAAATCATTAAAACTAATGAGTTCCAAGGTAAGTTTCACACAACAACAAGTTCACTTAAATTCCTTTGAAATCCGCACAACTAATTATTTAATATTCACTGACATATGTCTCAGCTTCTCAGATCATAGATGGCACTACCACTCTCAGAGAGGGAGACATTGCTGTCTCATCTGGACGGCGCTCCAAAGTCTGCTTTGCTCGTAGCTGCCTCTGGTCCAAGTCAGTGGATGGACATGTCTATGTTGCTTACAGGCTCTCATCTGAATACTGTATGTTGGTTTACTTTTCCTAGTGTAAATAAATGTAACGCAATGCAGTGTGATGCTTAAAAATTCACAAAATTAGGGTTTGATGTTTTATAAAAATGTCTGTTCCTAACCACTCTGTCCACACAAATGTAAAGCTGAAATGGAGACAAAGCTCATAAAGAAAGGGATGGAAAATGTAGAGAAAGGTACCTGCGTGCGCTTTGTTCCTTGGACTCACCAACGAGACTACGTCGACATCCAGCCAAAGTCTGGGTGAGATTCTTTGCTTGGAAAGTTTGATCCCTCCAGTTTTTGTTTTGAAAACGTTCTGCGTGGAAGAGATGTGAAAATGCTGCAGATCCTGTCATCCTGACATTGAATTATCACTTCACATGAACTTGCTCGCCGGTACAGCACTGAATTCATCCTCAAAGTCCATCTAATGCTGTGTGTTGTGTGTGTGTGTGTGTGTTCATCCAGCTGTTGGTCCTTCCTTGGTGCACGCGGTGGAAGACAGACCGTGTCCCTCCAGAGTCCCGGCTGCCTCCGTGTCGGAGTCATCTCCCATGAATTCATGCATGCCCTGGGCTTTGTGCACGAGCAATCGCGCTTCGACCGGGACAACTATGTCACCATCAAGTGGCCAAATATTTGGAGGGGTAATCTCGATGGGGCAGGATGAGAGGCGGGGTGGGGGGGCGGTTTGGGGAATTTACAAATAGTAAATTCAAGAATAATTATGGTTGTCTGTATTTCTGTATGAATATGAAAAAGCAAAAATGTGAAATCAACAAAAAAATATGTATGTTACATATATTACAATAAAATGTAATACGTTAAATATTTTCCACCTTCAAACAGATCGGTTAAGGAACTTTGAGAAATTCAAGACTGACAGTCTGGACCTGCCATACGACTACAGCTCAATCATGCACTTTGGGATGTAAGTAACACTTGTATGTAGATCCCTCAGTGAGAAATCATGCCATGGTCCATGTGTTATTATGTGACACGTCTGATCTGTATGTTCAGGTATGCATACTCTCAGGACGGGGAGCCAACCATCATCCCAAAGAACAGCCAGAACAGCAATAACATCCGGCTGGGCCAGGCAACAGCCCTCAGCCACCTCGACACGATGAAAATCAACAAGCTCTATAAATGTGGTCCGTAACAAACATCCCAAACTAACCTCGGCTAACCGAATTTTCCCAATGGGCATATGATGCCGACCTCGTCACTTTTCTTTTGCCTCTCCGCCCACAGATACCATGGATGACAACTAACGGATCTGAACTGGGAGGAAACAGGAATTTGCTGAAAGGCTAGATGCGAAATCAACAATTTCAATAAAGATTCATTCAAGAGCCCCGCGTTGTATCAGAATTTTCCCTGTGTGCATGCGACCGTGTGCGTTTACACACAACATGTAACTAGATAGAAGTATGTTTTCATTAGAAGAAGACTGGAAAAATTGATACCTGGATTAGTTGGTTTGCCGAGAAACAAATGTATCCATCCCTGAAAGCGTGCACCATTAACTCATATACAGATATAATATAGAACTATGACGTCCTGCGCTGACGTAGAACTTCCATCCAGCGTTCCCCTTTGAATTTGCCCCTCTATGAAAATAAAAACACTTCTTGGAGATAGATAAGGGTTTGTTCTTATATATTTTCCTATGCGACAAAATTATTGTTTATCAAGACAGCGATCAACTGATAGTTTATCGCAAAATCACTAGTTGCGGATACAGTCAGACACAAATTGTTGGTCTGTCGGACCGGGTGGATAGTTATTCACGTGATGGCAGCTGCTGAGTTGTACCACGTCCAGCAGCAAAACACCTTCAAAATATCTTCATTTATGAAAGTGCTGAATCGCACACGCACTAAGTACAGCGTACACGTCAAGGTCAGCATCAGGACCACCTGTTAAGGATCAGCAGTGGACTTGAGTAAATTACACACACTGGATGATAAGGGGTCTTAATCATGCTTCATCGCGGAGCATGTGCCCAATCAGTGGAGAGCAGGAGGAGAAGTGCTTATAAACTGTAGATTCAGTGGAGGGAAGGAATTCATTTAGCTCCGACGACTGCAGAGGGAAACTGGTACAGCAGTCTGAAACACAATAATGCCCTCTACCATGATGCTTCTGGGTGTTTTGTTTGGCTTGCTGACCCAGGCGTGCACTCTACCCGTTAAGGTCCGTATCGAGTAGAAATATTTCACAACAAAAGCCCATTTTAACCTCGTCCGGCTTCGCAAAACCAAATGTATCACGGTGCACCTTTGTATTACAGAATTCTACTGGAGTGCACGATGGGAAAGTGAGGTCGAAAAGGAAATACTCAGGTGGGATCTTTCGAAAAAGTGTAACATTCACCTCTTGAATTCAAATGACGATAATCTACATATTAGATCTGTCTGTTTTTGTGTTCAGATGAAATGTTGGACCGCGATGAAATGAATACAATGGATCAAATCCTGGAAGTCAACAGGAGTAAGTACGCTGTGATTGTTGTGAAAAGTTAATCACAAGCTAAACACACCCTGGGCTGATTTAATGTTATTTTTTTGCCATCAGGATTGCGAGGCCCCCGAGGGCTCACCTTCAGAGAGGGAGACATTGCCAGCTCGTTTGCACGGAGTGCCATAACTTGCCCAGGCAACGCCTGTATGTGGCAAAAATCAGTTGATGGATTTGTTTATGTTCCCTTCATGCTCTCCCCGCTATACGGTATGAATACACAGATTGAAGCAAGGTTTTGAAAATGCACCGGGAGTTCAAATCTTTCTCAAACTCAAACGTCTTCCCTGGCGTTAGATGACATGGACCGAATCACCATAGAAACTGGGATGCAAGACATCGCCTCGGGAACGTGTATTAAATTCGTTCCGCGCACTCACCAGGCCGACTTCCTGGATATTCAGCCTAGATACGGGTGAGCATGACTGCCAAAGGTATCTTTTTAAACCTCTTGGAAGTCGACCGTGTGCATGATTCCGACGTGGCGATTGCGTGATGACGATGTCTTTCTCCTGATTATGTGCTCCCCAAGCTGCTGGTCGTTTCTGGGGCAGACCGGAGGCAGCCAGGTCCTGTCGCTGCAGACCCCCGGCTGCATGTGGTCAGGAGTGGCCTCGCACGAGCTGATGCACGCCCTGGGCTTTGTCCACGAGCAGTCTCGCTCAGACCGCGACCAGTTTGTCTCCATTGTGTGGAGAAACATCATGCCAGGTTCAGGAGTAAATGATGAACAATGTTGTGTTTGTACAACCGGAAAGCCTTCTCTTTATCTAGTCTGTGCTTTTCTTCTCGTGTATTATTGTTTGCAGACCAAATTCATAACTTCAGGAAACATGTGACGAACAATCTGAATAGTCCGTACGACTACAACTCTGTCATGCATTATGGAAGGTGAGCTGCTCTTTGAGGCAACGTCTTTATTGGTTTTAGCATATTTTCCATGGGCATCACAACACCATATTCTTTATTTAACCTGCATACAGATATGCCTTCTCTGAAGATGGCGGACCAACAATAATCCCCAGACCAGATCCTTATGTTCCCATTGGCCAGCGAGACGGACCCAGTAACCTAGATCTTCATAAAATAAATGTCCTATATAACTGTGGTAGGTGAACATATTCTGACTAAAAGAAAACAAATATATTTGTTTTATTCAAAATGATTGATTGCAATTTCTCTCTTATCCCCACAGGTGTCACTAATTAACAGGCTGCAGTGTCATATTCTGATGCCACACGTGTGACGTGTTTACAGTAACTTCTTGTATTGAGTAGAGTAGTAAAGCAATTTCATCTTTCTATAATTGAATTATTATCAGTTTGGTCTGTACTTATAAATTCTTTCAGTCAACTCTAAGGACAATCTACTAATGTGTGCTAAGATAAGGATGAACAAAATAAGCAAGTAAGAATTGAAAACTGCTTTTCTCTTACATCAATCAATCACCGGTGTAGTTTTAAGCCTCCTGCTGCATATTAGATCACCTCTGGTCGTTGAATCGGCTTGTTTCTTTTTGTTGCCTCCTTATCAGCTTCTGCTCACTTAAAATAAAAAAAATGCAACTGTAATGGAGTAATAGTCGGTTTTGTGCATCGTCGTTTACATCAATGAGATGTCTGGTATTGCTTTGAGGTGGAATATATTTGCTGTACGGAATTTCTGTCTGACAAGAATTAAACTTTTCTGCAGTGTGAACATATATAGTTTACCTTTCCCGTCCACTGCACTAAACTTTGTTCAAAGGGTCCAGCGTTTTAAATCAAACCAATAAAATCAAACACAATACATTTAATTTTCATCATATTCTCATGTGATTTTTAAAAGTTTATTTAATTCAAAAATACCTTATACCTTGACTACATTTCTGGTTTCTGTAATACATTAACATGAAGAGAATACAAAAAACATGATTTGTTTCAAATAAATCAGTTCATCTTCGACTGAATTTTAACAGTGTTTTAGCACTAGATGACAATGTCATTGACATTTGCTTGACTGTGTATCCCACAAGGTAAAAGATTTATTGAACTTGATCAATTTCAGGTGTATATTGCCATCTAAAAAGTTCCTAAACCATCATACCAAGTGTTTCTTAGTAGTTTATGTTATTGGGATATAAAATCAGATAAAACATGCAATATGTAACTAACTCTTTAAGACTGAAATCACTTAAAGAAACTATAAGAGTACATTTAGGCAGAAAGTACAACAATTGCTTATGATAGTCATGGGCCGGCTGAATAGGAGCCGTCCCGCGCTGCCGGCCCGTGGGGGGTTTAAAGTGTGCACACACGCGTACACGCGCGCAGACGGCGCACGCACGCACGCACAGGCTGTTGTAGCTAGCTGGTTAGCACCGCAGCGTGAAAACCTGACATTGTATTATATCCAGTGGCACAAAAAATGAGCGATAACGGCAAAGCTTACGGCGAGCGGGTACGTATGCGAAGGCCTCACACGGTTTTAATTGAGCTAGCGGTGTTAATTCCGTGATGTGCACATTAAAAGGCGGCATTACCGTTACGTTAACAGTCTTCACATTGTGTTTAGCTGCTAACCGTAGCTAGCTAACGCGGCTCTCCGGCGTTATATGGCTTATTCACTATTGTATGCAACGCAATCATGTTCATTACATTTTATTTATTAATGTTCGATGTCTCGACCAGGGCAAGGTCCGGTAACGTTACGGTAACGTGGCTAATATTCCTCGGCTTAGCCAGCTAGCTGGCTAGCTAGCTAACGCTCGCTTACCTGCGCTCGCTAGGCCGCAGCCGCATGCCATTAAGAACCCAAACCCACGGGTTCTATGAGCAGCGGGGTGAATGCTAATCGATACATATCAATAATTTGAAACATTGCATTATCAACATTGGCCGACATTACGTTGGTAAAGGGCGGTTATATAAGCGGCCAGGCGTATGAGCTATCGTTAACGTTAAGCGTCGTGGATTGCTCACGTTAATTTCACGGTAACGTCGAGGAATACAGCGTTTATGTCGGTGTAGTTTCTCGACATAATCGACCAACATTACAACGAACATTTTATACAAAAAAAATACCTCAAGATGTCTTCTCATTCGTTTGTATTCCCTCACACGTTCAGCCCTCGTGTTCCCGTTGCATAGTAATTGTTTTACTCCCCCAGGTCAATAATTTCGTTAAAGTAAATGATCATTACAAGGTCACAATGTGTAAATATGTTGTCACGGTGTTTGACCGGAGCGGTGTCTCTTTTATAAAATATCTGTATACTTTGTTACTCCCGAGATGTCATGTCTGCGCTAATGTTGAAGAGAAGCATCTTGAGGTCGTTAGGACTCACTTAAGCCGGTTTATTTATTATTTTAAAAGGAGTTCAGTAGGTATTATACACATTAAGTGGTTTGATTTGCCCGAGAGGCCACTTAACAAACATTGTCTGAACAGGTTCCATTGAAAATGGCACACAGTATATTTATGGCAAAATGACCTGGGTAAATAATAATGAGGTAATAATCACAGGCGATATTATTCTACAGGACAATGTGTGTGTTCTGTTTTTTCGCGTGTTTAACAAAAAACGCACAACCAATTTGCCTCTTAAAGGTTCTAAATGAAAGTGGCATGTCAGCATATGTAGAACCACTGAATGTGAAATATTTATTGATCTTTAAATTAAAATGTTGTATTGTGGTGTCTTAAACCTTTCCATGCATGTCATGAGATTTAATAAAATAAAAGTTGAATGAGGGTGCTATTTTAATTGTAGTCATATATTCTTCATCCTTTTCTTTTTCATAAGGGTAAGAAGAAAGTGCGGAAGAAGTCCACTTATTTTCAATAATATGAAGCTCAGATGTGTGAAGGCTGAATTGTTGAATGCATGCTAAAACATGACGAGGGAAGAAGTTTGGGCAGTGTGTCAGATGGGGGAAGTAAGAAGAAGTAAAACAATTGAAGAAAGAAGAATAATGTGAAGTAATGAAGTTACAGAAATGAAGTTGGTAATCTGGATAAGGCCGCAGCGCTAAGTAATTCTCTGGTCTGTTTGTCAAATGAGTGCATGATCTTGTTATGAATACAACAAACAGTTTAAATAATTGCCATTTTTACACCACTGACAAATTCCTGTTATTTCATGTTGCCAATATAATTATATTGATTAATGTAATCCTGTTTAGCATATTATGGATGGCAACAAAATAGTTTACCTGTATTCCTAATCCACTATCCTATTTTCTGTACTATTCACAGGATAGTCTTAATTACTACATAGAATTATTAAGGCAAAATTCTCTGTGTGTCCTCTCCTTGATGCTGATAAGAGGTGTGTTGGTGTGTGTGTGATTCGTTCAGGAGTCTCGCTCCGCATCCAGGAGCGTGAGTCCGCGGGCCTCGGGGAAGTCGGCAAGCCGCTCCCCAGCCCGCTCACCTGCCCGTTCAAAAGAAGGCTCCCGCCACTCCCCTTCCAAATCTCGATCTGGTTCCAGGTCCAAATCGGGGTGAGACTTTTTTTGTTACATACATATGTCTCATGGAGCAGCTGCTGAGAAGTTCAATATGAAGAACCACAGACCCAGAATGAATGTTGGAATTGCTTCTCTGCGTAGATCTCACTCTCATCGCGGCTCACGGAGGCACTATAGCCGATCGCGCTCCCGCTCGAGGTCCTATCGCCGCCGATCTCACAGTAGGTCCTACAGTGGAGAGCGCCGGCGCAGGAGTCACAGTCGCTCGCCGATGTCCAACCGCCGCAGGCACATCGGCAATCGCGTAAGTGCTGAAGTCTGCTCTGCGCTCTTTCTGCATAATGCATGACTATATTGACCTTGTAAAGAAAGAAAATCAACTAAATTGTACATTTTTTTTTACATATTTGTAAAAAAAATGCAGGCTAATCCAGACCCAAACGGCTGCGTGGGAGTGTTTGGCCTCAGCCTGTACACCACAGAGAGAGACCTGAGGGATGTCTTCTCTAAATACGGCCCGCTGGCGGATGTCTCCATTGTGTATGACCAGCAGTCAAGGCGCTCCAGGGGCTTCGCCTTTGTCTACTTCGAGAACAACGGTGATGCTAAAGAGGTACAAGAACCCCACGTCCCCCATCAGACCTGCTGCTGGAATGTTTCTGGGTCTAAAGAGGTCATTTGTTCGATGGTAGGCAAAGGACCGAGCCAATGGTATGGAGCTGGATGGGCGTAGGATCCGGGTGGACTTCTCCATTACAAAAAGACCTCACACCCCGACCCCTGGGATCTACATGGGTCGGCCCACATAGTAAGGAACCTTAGTGTTTTCGTCGATCTAAAGATTATTGCTTGTATTGTTATTTTATTTTATTTTTTTATTTTTTCTTCATTTATCATATAATAAATTGAGAGGCCAATCAAATATTTATAGGCAGATGCAGAATATCATAAAACCAACACCACAGCATTTGAAACAAAGATGTATGTATGACACAAATAAGTTTATCATTGGGTGTTAAAGAATAAATACAATAGGTCACCAACCAGTTATACCTAAATATAAAATGTTTTGATGGCGCCGTTGATTTGTTCTGCCTATAATTTCTTAATGATGCATCGGCCAATTATTAATAAATGCTAGGAGCTAATATTACTTTTATTTATTGAATCAATTCCGCTCTGGTTACTTCAATTTGCGTCACCTGAAGTGACACATTTAGCAGGATCTATCCAGTTGTGTTGGGTCAATGTTTTTGTCAGACGGGAGTAAAACGTTGATAATATTGAATGGATAAAATGGAAGAACTGTAAGTCTGCGTGAGCTGAAAAGGAAATCTGATCTTTGCATTGTCTTCTGTTTAGTGGTGGTGGAGGCGGCGGCGGCAGCAGCAGCGGCGGCGGCGGAGGTGGTGGTGGCGGCGGCGGCGGTGGCAGCAGCGGTGGAAGCGGTCCAAGTGGTCCTCGCCGCAATTCTCGTGACTACGACCGTGGATATGACCGTGGATACGACCGTGGATACGACAGAAGCGGCTATGAACGCTATGACGACAGGGACCACTACAGATCATACAGGTGAATATCTAAAATGTCTTCTAAAGGTAGTCCTTTACATTAACAATGGGGAAATTAAAGTGAATTAATTATTGTTTTCCCTCTAAACCCCCCTTTTTAAATGTTAATTTTTTTCCCACTCGTTTCAGAAGGCGATCTCCGTCCCCGTACTACAGAGGGGCATACAGGTCTCGGTCCAGATCGCGATCCTATTCTCCACGTAAGTTATTTGTAGTAAATTTCCCGCTCTTTTTTTATTGAGGCAGTAAACTTATTGCAATGGGTTTAATCCCGTTTTTTCTTGGTTTCACAGGTCGCTATTGAACATTGCTGTCAAGCCCCTCCAACTCCCACACAGGAAGTGTTTCTGAATGGAATGATTGGTTTCAGAGTAGCTCTACTTAAGGTGATCTCCATACTTCTGTTGTCTAAGGTATATGACTAGTCAACGTGTGCTGGGGTCACTTTTAAAGCCGTGTCATTTGTCATGACTAAGCTGTCCCCATTTTGTCTTCATTTTAAATGTATCGGCAACAACTGCCATTAAAAATACATTAATGATTTTATTAATGTATTTTTTTGTATGCAAGATTGAGTGCGCATTCATCTTTGAACAGATTAAAAGGAAGAAGCTTTTTTTTCACTCTGACTCGTGTCCTTTCTTCCAGTTTTTCTACAGTTCAACCATTTTCTGCTGCAAGGCCGTTATGGTACAAACAAACAAAGCTTTTTATCCTGTTCCATTGCTTTTTGTGAGGATGTCTGCAGCATTTTAGTTCTGAACTTCTCCGATTGAATTCCCTAACCCTCCTCTAGCACCGGTGATCAGACGTCACCCATCCTCAAACGCTGCCCTCGTTTTGATGTCAGCTGCACACCTGTAAGGTTTTGCCGCAGCATCTTGGACGGCCGTGACACTGTCAGTGTTGACGAGATCTGTCCTCGAGTGACGAGAAATACGAACACCTGACAAAGTAATCCAAACCGTTTCAGAGGTCGTTTCCGCCGGCACAGCCGTCTCCAGAGCCGCAACACTTTCTGTCGCCGCCGGTAACCAATAGAACTTCAGCGTGATTATATGGCCCCAGTTTATCTAATTAGACAACTAAATATTCCCTGAGCTTGTTTGCATGTCTTTGAATCTTTACCAACATGTGTGATTCATTCAGTGATAATAAAAAAGGAAAATTAAATAAAAGGGTTAATTTATGGTCACGTTTTTTATTTTACAAAAAATAGGACGAGGGATCTATAAGTCAATTTCCCTGAACTGATAATTAACATGTGGTGAAGCAGGATCTGCCACATCTCACCTGCTCACACCTTCCCCTACTGGTCACACAGGAGCACATGAGAAACTGGTTGATGTCCCTGTTTATTTAATCCTGTTGACAAAGTTAAATGGAAATTATTTAACGGAACGCTGATATCTTGAGTTTCAATTGAACATTTTGAAATATTCTGAAATTTTACTCTATCCTGCTAGGGGTGATTTTTTTATTTAATTTTTTTATTTAACTAACCTAAAGGTGATGCGTTAACGGTACAGTTGTTAAAGGTATTGTGTAGCACATTAATCCACTGTTTGATGTAAATTGTCTCAACCTTTCTTTTGTACTTTGAGAATACAATGGTTTCTAGTATGTTTTGCATGTGAATTTCCTCCTGGAATACAGAGAAGAAAATGAATCTACTAGATGAAGATAACGGTTAAACTCCCTGTTCTTGTGTGCAATACGCTACTTAACACATTTTATTGCCCAACAAAGGAAGGGACCTTTGAGACAGTGTAGTTATTGATAGGAATGTGTAAACTGTTATTGCCCCATGTTTTATTCCACATGGGATACCATGCTACAATCAGAAGCATTTAAGGAAGATGTAAATTGACATTAATTCCATATGAATTCTAGTTTGGTATTTTACTTTAGTTTTCCATTGTTCTTTTACCTTCTCCACCCTCTTTGAATCTAGACAATGTGTGTGTTTGTTTTGGTCAGCTGGTTGCTTCGTGTTATTAAATGTCAGATCTTCAATCCTGCTTAATTGTGCTCTTGGAAGCGGGAATCATTTTGGAAGGAAGAATTGTAAGTGCTTTGTGATTCACTTGGCATTTACCATGAATGTTTTCTTTTCTATGTAAATATTGATGCAATGGCAAGCCGGTTAAAGGTAAATGCCATAACTAGATATTTTTTAATTTACAAAACCTAAAAAAAAGTTTAAAACAAAACAGTTTAAAAAACAGTTTTTAAAAAAAGCAGACATTTGAAGCCACTAAAGACCTTGATCAGTTCTTGTATTTGGACTCCGCTAGGACTCTTTCAGAGAGGCCTGCTACAACATGGTTAGCATGTCATCAGGAAAGTAACTGAAGATCTGTTTTGTAAATAGGCCACAGCTTGAACATTCCTCTGTTCACACACTAAACGTAAACACAGCGAGGAGCGTCACACTCTCTGGATGGGTGGCAGTAATGTTCCAGTCACACGTAGAAACGAGTGCTGTAGGCTCCTCCCCTTGGCAACTGGTAACTCCTCCCCCCGCCCCACCACCATTCAGCGCCGAAGCCCTTCCCCTTACATCTCAGCTTTTATTTTGAAATCCACCGTATTTGCAAAGTACCTTACCTCTTCCCAAACACAAACACACACGGACACACATCACCCCAAAATATATGCTATACACTGTGGCCTGGGTTATAAATGCAGACTGGCTGAGTGACACATGCAAAGATACAACGGAGGGCCAGGAATCCCCTTGTGTCACCTTATCAGCAACTAAAATAAATATTTGCTTAGTTTTACATGTTGCAATTGGATCCATTATCAATATCAACTGGCTAAGCACAACACGGAAGTGGCATTACCTTTAATAACGCCGTGTGAGGGTGCAGGTCGGAGGCCCTTATCCGGGGGCCCATGATAAAGATGCAAAACACTGCTGTTTATGCCGCTGTTATTTCTGCTCGAGGACAGAATGTGCAAGACTTTCTGTTTCAAGGTTTCACTTTCTGCATTGCTTTATAAAGATAACCTTAATTAGCTGCTGTTGTTGTTTTTTATAAGCGTAGAAAAATCTTCAAAAATCAAAAAACATGTTCACAGATGTTTTTATTAAAGGAGACTTACGCATCGCCGGCGTGATTTTGACTCCCCGCGTGCGCACAGCTCCATAAATATTTCTGCCCCCCCCCCATAAATAAAAGGCAAACTGTGGGGATCAGTGACACTGTTTGGGTCGACAAGTACAGTGACAACGGCTTGATTTTCCACACAGTAGCCCTTTTTCTTCACTCCCCCAGCCTGGAGGGACCCGAGGAATAAAGTCTCCTTTAAGCCCATCCCTTTGCTGAATGTACCCAGGGATCACCATGCCATTCCCGTACCCCCCCTCCTCCACATGTAGGCTCCCTTCCACGCCGGAGAACCGGGACTGATCCCACATGCACCTCCAAACATTTTGTTCTTGTGATTTTTTTAAGGGAGATTTTATTTAGAGGCGGTGCTTATTGGCTCCAGAGTAGCGTCGTAACGACACTTTTTTTTTCCTCCCCCCCAGTCCCTTTTAAAAAGAGTTAGACCGGGGGCAGAGTTGGTACTGGGGGGTCGCCTATAGTTTAGTCATTTCTTGGGGGGGGGGTAATCGCTGCGTTTTTTTTTCTTTCATACCATCAGATTTTCTATTTTATTATTTTTATTTTTTTAATTTTTCTATTTCTCTGAAATACCGCCACCCTCTCACTCTCAAGATCTGATACCCCTTCGAGATTTTTCCATTCAGACCATGAACAAACTATATGTTGGGAATTTAAGTCCTTCGGTTACTGTCGAGGACTTGAAGGAGCTCTTTGGGGAGAGGAAGCTGCCCGTGGCCGACCAGGTCCTACTGAAATCCGGCTATGCTTTTGTGGACTTCCCCGACCAGAACTCGGCCATAAAGGCTATAGAGACTCTTTCTGGTAAGTGCAAGATTTGATAAGTGATGCTGCTGCTGACAACGGGGCAAAAAGGAAGAAAAAAAATCACTTTGAGTTTAACTGCAAGATCGGCGTCAAAAATCCCCACAGCTCAGCGTGTCCAAAAAACAACGCGAAATAGTGGTGATATATTGTGTTAATAATGTCTTGTTGTTGCATGGGACAGTGTTTGCGAACACATCCGTGTGCCGTCGGAGTTCAGATGAACGCTCTCAGCCGTGCACGCTCCGACCCAAGAAAATGGATAATTTATCGATCACAGGACACACTTGGCGTTTTAGTGCCCGTTCGCCTAAAGAAAAAAAACACACACACACACACACGCGAGCCGTCGTAACGCCACAAACGCGCACAATAACCTCCATTTGGGAGATTCCGATAGTCTGGTGCGCTACTTTGCGATCGCCCGCTGGAATGTATGGGATGGTCTGATGCTTCGCGGTAGGCATAATTATTTTTCACTTATTTTTTATCCTGATTTTATTGAGGAGAGCGCGGCGACGCCACCGCGAAAAACTTGTCAGATCCATGTTCCCCTGATGTCTGGCTATGTTTTTACGAGGTGTCTTGGAGGTGGGTCACGGGGGTCCGGAGGAAAGCGCTAATAAACAGGTAGCCGCGAGAGAGAGAGAGAGAGAGAGGGGTGGGGGGGGAGAGAGCGAGAGGGACGAGGTGAGACGCTAATTCCGTGCTGCGCCAGGGCCACTCATAATAACCAAACCCCCCCCCTCCACCCACCACACCACCACCACCACCACTGTGTTCAAGCTTTCGCCGAAGAGCGCTTTCGAATTCAACCCCCGGTGCTGGATCAGCACGGAGGACCGAGAAACACCTTCCCAGGAATAGAACGAGTCCCCCCCCCCCTCCTCCAAAAACACCATCCACTGTGATGTTGCATTTTCTTTCTTTTGTTTTTTAAAACCGAAAAGCAGAAACAAATACCCCTCATTGCACTGTGTGGGTTGTGGGAGTGGAAAGCATGGCTGCCCGTCCCCCCCCCCCCCCTTCTACACACACTATATAAGCTTATCGTGCTTCGTTTTGGCGCCGATTCCCCTCAATTGTGACGCTCTGAATGTCCCACGGTGGTTGTTGTTGTTAAATACGAGCGCACCCGGTTTCTCGGTACTACTGGTTCTGTTTGAAGGGGTTGAGGTGTATGAATGGAGGCGCGTGAACTCGGGGAAGTGATTCAAAGTGTGAGGCCTAACCAGCACGCATCGTTGCTCTCATGGCGCACAGCGAATGTTAAAACTGTCATTTTGGGCCCCACAGGTAAAGTTGAACTCCACGGAAAGGTGATCGAGGTAGACTACTCTGTTCCCAAAAAACTAAGGTAGGGTTACAACCTCTCTGCTTCTTATATACACACAAACACACACACACAATGTGGCATACGCCTATACTGTGCCCCATGGCGCACTCTGACCTGTAGGCTTCCGCTGTGAAATATAGTGCGCACATTTCCCCTCTCCCCTCGGATTGTGTGAGTGTTTCCTTTTTCTTTTTTTTTAAACCGGGGCTGTTGTTGTTGTTGTTGTTGTTGTTGTTTTCTGTTTCCCGTTCCCCGCGATGCAAATGTAATTGCATGGCAATTGAACAAAACGCGGTGACAAAGAAACAGTTTTCTCTCAACATCCGCAGAGGCACACGATGGCCGCTGCCCGACTCGCGTGATCCGCGTCGAGGCCTATCCCACTTTAAAAAACGCGCACGCGCACAGTGCATACGTTTAATAATTGCTTGTTAATTGAATCCCCCGATAAACACAATGCAATCAGAATTACATGGCTGCTTCGTATATATAAATGATTTCCCCTGCACGTTTCACTACCGACTGCAACCCTGCAATGCACGACGAGTAGCATACCAATCAGCCGAGGCGCCTCCGTGGTTCATGTATATATACATACATACATACATACGTGCGTGTGCGTGAGAAATGCAGTTTGAGTGGGTGCGTGCGAGAAAAGCGGGAGTTGAAGGTTTGGGAGCAAATCCGTAGGTTCACACTAAATTCCGCGACACCACCGTCACGTGTTGTGCTTCTTCGTTCCACGCGGTGAAAGGAAATCCACGAGCTTTTAAGTGGTAAAACAATGATATTACGTGATCAACTCCTCTTTAGATTCCGCAGCCTGCACGCGCGCAACACGTAGAGGTGCCCCCCTCCCATTTGGAAACAATGCATTTGTCTTTAAGGAAAGACTACGTTGCGTGACACGAAGGTAAATATTCAAGCCCCTTGTGGAGGAACACGTGACCTGTAGTCGTTACCAGCCCCCCCTCCCCGTGCAGCATATACGCCCTTTCTTTGCTGTGCTCAAGGCAAATCCGTATGCTTTTAACATGTTTTCATCGACCGAGCCGCGTTCTCGTTGTGCACAAGCTCGCGCCACTCCCTGCAGTGCGCGTGCGCGTGCGCGTGTAGGCCGTGGACATGCCGGAGAGCCTCATAATGGCTGCCGCGTTGCCCTCCCCCTCTCTCCCTGCACTGCACGGCTATAGGCGGAACAGGATGGGGCCACATGTCCACACATGTGTCCGCCGTATGTGAGCAGGCCCTTTATCTGCGCCGTGCATGTATGCGGACCCGGCGCAACACGTACAGGTGCTCACTGTGAATCTGGGCTAAATCACGTGGTGTCGAAACGCCATGTTGTCATTTCACGTTACACCTCGCTGCAGTTTTTTCGGTCTTTGTTAGAAATGATTAGAGCCGCTGTCTGTTGCAGAAACATTTTAGTTGATTGTAATTGTAAAGCTTGATATACACATTTTTTAAATGCTCCTGCAGTATAAACAATCTTTACTAATAATATATATTTTTTAATCCGGTAGTTGTCTCAGGCATATTGAGAATAACACTTACATTTAAAGGGTTTGAATACTCGATAGCTGAATTTAGTTTATTTAGTTAATAATATGATGATTATACGTATTGTTATGATTTGATTTGAAAGTGTGTAAATGGTTACTACTGACTGGGCTTGAGAAGGGAACCGAGCACCAATTATTTCTTGTCATTTAGGAAGCAGCTTGTGAGTTCTTCTTCAGGCCTCTTATGGTTTTGTGAGAGTGTTGTAGTGTCAGCTGCTGTTTGCTGTCATTACTCTTTGTTTATTTTTCTGCGTCGTGTTTTGACTAATGTTTGCCAATAGGCATAAGGGGATTAACTATTAAATTCAGTCTCTTTTAACTGCAACACTTTTTGATTGTTTTAAATTTAGTTTGTTAGTGGTTTTAGGTTTGGGCCTTTTTTAGGCATCTTTGAATTTTTCAAGTTTTAATGTCCTAAATATTTATTTATTGTTATTTCACTTAGGTATAATTTATATTTTGATATTCCAAATTAGTTGAAAAGTGTCATCTCTTGTAATATTTCTATATAAGTAATTCAAGCAGAAAGCAGAAGTATATTTTTCATTTTTGTTGTTAAAGTTTCCTGTCATAGGAATAGACATTTTTACTTTTTCAGTAATCTTTCAAATGGATATTTCGAAATATTAGGTTTGTTTTTACTATAATTATTGCTTTGATCATTATTGATTTGATGCAAATTTAAAAATAAATTTCTACTACTGGGTAAATATTTTGGGATCCATCTCATTTAATTATAGTATAACCTGAGTTGGATAAAATTACTGTTAAATAATTTGGTGAAATAACCAATACAATACAACTCTTAAACCATTAGAGAAATAAATAGCTTTGAGTGTAAAACAGGTTACACTTAACTCTTTTCTTTCATTTATATCGTCTGTCTGATTGAATTACTCTTATAGTTTGATAGGTAAATCTGTTAAAAAAAGAAATGTTTTGATATGAGATGTGTTCTTATTCTTGTTAAGCTTCCTTGTCCAATAAAGCCTGTGGCAGAGTATTCACACCAGAGTGCAACTTGGTGCTCATTGATGCTGCTTCTGCATAAACAGCATGTGCTGTTGTTTGACTACATCAAACCGGCGACGTGCTGAAGGTGTGGACTAAAGTGACTAAAGTGACCTCTCTCTATGAGCCTAATTAAATAATGCAAAGCACGTGAAGACACAAAGCTGTGTTTCCGAAACGTATACAGGTTTGTCCATGGTAGTGACAGGACACGAGCTTTCTCAAATTATTGCTCTACATCTTTGACCTGACCTGAAAATCAGTTCAAATAACCCGGTGATGGATTTCAGATTGACTGAAATCCATCGCCGGGCGTGTTCCTCCCCATTGGTCCGCCTTCCGATAAACTCAGGCTGCATTATTCTTCCCATAAAATTCCAAGTTTGCCGCTCAAAGCCGTTTTGAAGAACGCACATTGGGTACAGAACACCTTTCCCGGCAAAAGGACTCGAACCGAGACACTGCTGTAAACATCTGCAATGCACCATGGTGGGGCGCATGCACGTGTGTGACGGGGGGGTCGTCAGCGCAAGCTGCGAAATGCGATAGCCATCAGTTGATCCACTCTGAATCCATTAATACTCCCCAGTTGATCCTGGGTGGAGGGGAGGCTCTCCAGTTTAGACTTTTGTCCAGAGTAGTAGCAGGAGGCACTGCACCCCCCCACCCCCCCTCTCTAAAGCCACATCCGCTGCCCTTTCCTCCTCCGCCTCCCTTCACCTGTCGGCGAAGAGGGGAGGTCGCTCAGTGAGGGGATCACTTCCACGAATTCTCACTGTGCTTCTTTTTTTATTAATTTTTTTTTTATGCCTCTGGCGTCGTTGTCGACGTTCCCGTAACTCTTTTGTTTTGTCCCGTCTCGTTTAGCTCGAAGAAGACACTGCGGAGACAATTGTCTCTTCGACTGAGCCCTTATTGTGTTAAATGATGCACATGAGGTGTGAAAAAAGAAAAGAAAAAAAAAGACAGTTGTCTCTAAACACTTGCGGAAATAACGTCTATCTACTTGTCAGGTATTGGCTGAAGCCGTTTATTTGCGTTTGTTTAAGCTGCAGATTTTACGTCTGAGCCCTCGTTCTAACGCCGCCACATTTGTGTAGCAATTAGGGACTTTTTCATGAAAGCAGGGGCGGTTCGTTTCTCTCCTGCATTAGCAACACGGCATGAAGGAGCGGCGGCATAAGATGCAGGCGTGTTGTAAATGTATTGTGTGTCAACAAGAGCTTTGGACTCCTTTTGTCCGCCGCCACCAACAGCCGTAGGGACGGTTACCCCCATTCTCCTCCTACGTCATTCCCGGCCAACCTGTTAGGCGAGTAACATCTCACTGCAGAATTACACTTGTTACGAGCAGGAGCAAAGTAATCACATGACTCTGTGGCAGCGGGGAGGAGCTGTGGAAGTGGTTGCCGAGGTGAGGAGGATTCCTCCGGCTGCTGCGCGTCCCAAGTCTGGCATTTTTCTGTTGATGCTGAATCGAGCAAAGGAAGGGATGCTTCCTCTGTCGGATTTTTAAATGTATTTATTTGTTACCTGACCATTAGGAGGGTAAATTAGCGAACAAATGCTCCTTTGTTAAAGATGAGCGAGGTGAAGTCTTCTTGAATTGAACCGTTGGCTCGTTGAAGTCAGCAAAATAAATAAATAAATAACAGCGTCCAAACTTTCACACTTCTTTCCACACGTGTTTGGTCGTTGTCAGCGCTGACAGTGATATCTTCCTACCAAATGTAATCTTAAATGTGCTCCATGTGACTATTTAATGAATTATAAATAATGATTACAAGCGCGACAGTTTGTACCCAAGTTGTTATAGGGGGAAGTCATGTCAAGTAACAGCTGTTCAGTCTCCTCATATGTGTGTGTGTGTGTGTGTGTGTGTGTGTGTGTGTGTGTGTGTGTGTGTGTGTGTGTGTGTGTGTGTGTGGCGTAACACTGGGGAAACAGAAACCGTACTATACAACCTGAATGCCGGATGTGAACTTGAGTGTTACTCACCTCTCAGAGGGGCAGTTCTCCCTGTGGGCTCTTCAGGGTGGGGTTTCCATGAAAGGATGGGCAGCTGTGGCGCACGGCAGGTGGCATTTCCCGCTAAGCCAAACCCCGTCCTTGTCCCATATCAGCCCCCACATAACCGCCCCGCTGGAACATTATCTCTCTGAAGGATCCTGAGCCGTGTGAAATGAATGTGGCAAAAACTCCCCGACAGCCAATCGAAACGAGGCAGGTGTCGCAATGCCGGCGCGCAGCCGATCGTGTGCGAGCAGGTCGAGCGGTGTGCTGATGGAGGCCTCTGTTACGCCGGCCCGGAGCCGCGAGCTGGGAATGCTGTTGGCCCGAAGCTTCACCCGGGGGGACGTCCCACCCCGGGGACCCCGCTTGACCTCAAACCGAATAACTTGATGTTTAAACCGATGATCAACTGAGCTTCTTATAACGTAAGCT